ACCGCCCCCACTTCCCCCAAATGAAATCTTAGATTTAAGAAAATTGAAACCAACAATTTAGACGGTTCTTACATGGAATTGTTTCTAATAAATAAAGTAGGTGTTTCTGGACTGAAAAAGGCCAACATGTAATAATCGGTTGAATACTCTAGAATTGACCTCTTCTACTCTAGCTAATTGCCATGGTATGCCTAGCCTCAAAGCAGACTTTTGAAATAAAGTTTTAGAAATATGATTCTTTAATTTGAAACAGAGAAAGCCTTCCCTCCCCCACCCCCTCCGAAATTTTTTTTTAAAAACCTCCAGCATTTATTGTACCTTAATTGTACTGATATCTGCAGGGTTTGCTGTAAACGCCTTCCTCTTTTCCAACACTTGATTCAATTGTCTACCCGAATTACCAGTTCGTGATTTGACCAAGTGGGAAGGCCAAGTTTCCCTTACATTTCGAAAGAGCTATAATAATGAAGTACAAATAATATTTCTTGCAAGTTGTTATTGTCGTGATTAGGGAAATGATGTCAACTTACATTTAAATTTATGAAATAAAAAGTCCCTCCAAAATATAAAAAAACAACGAAACCAAACCAAAATCAAAACAAAACAAAGCAAAACAAAACAAGAACCCCCCCCCAAACCACAGACCGTTTATGTACTCGTTCTTTACTCGTGACTTACGGTAAGTAGCTTTAAAAAATGTAATATAGGAAACAGAAACTTTTCTTGCTTAAACGTGTTTTCTAGGGTAACGCAATTAAACATCAATTGATAGACGGAGACATGTTATATTCCAAGACCTATTGTGTGGCTCAACAACAGCGTATGAGTGCGATTGAAAGAGGTGGTGGGGGTGGCGTCCGTTACAATTTAGTTTTTTATCCACCATCATCGTTGGCTTTCTCACCCTGGATCAGGGTAAGGGTATAGACCACGAACAAACACTTTCCACTTTTTCCTGCCCTGGGCTAGCCTCTTGGTGTTATTCCTCGTCTTCCCATTTTTCTGCACATAGATTTCTTTGACTCTTCTCCAGGTTCCACGTGATCTTCCCTTTGATATTTTCCCCGGTGGGTTCAAATCCAACACTTTCCTTGTTATGCAGCTTCCTGATTTCCTAAGAGTATACCCCATCAATTACCATCGCCTTCTTCCCACCTCATCTCTGACTGTTCTCCTTACCACTTTCTCGTTGGTGACCCTATCTGTCCATCTGATCCAAGTTAACTTCCTTAGACACTTGTTCAAGAAACCTTTATGCAATTCTCACATCCATACAACAAGACCGACTTCACATTTGAGTAGGAAATCACCAGCTTCTTTCCGAGTGAGATATCCCTGGTGCTCCAAATCGAATTCAAAGATATTATAACATATATATTTTTACAATATTTGTGTATTCCAGCAGAAGGTTATATGTCAAGTCGTTTCAGAAGTTTCCAATAAACATATTTTGGAAATCTAAAGGAACAAAAAGCTGCGGTTTTCTTCCTCATCCGTTTTCTGGATGTAATACCGATGATAATGTAAATTATTCCTATTCCTTCTACTCTCGGGTTTTCCGTTTCCGTAATCAAGAACATCTGAAACTTTTATTTTGAAAAGCCTTAGAGCTTTCGTTTTTGTTAGTAGTCATATTTTGTCGTTTTGGGGGCAAAAATAGTAACACATATGTTTTCCTTTATTTTCCATTGACAAATGAAAAAGACGTTTCAATGATGTTAAAGCTTGATATTTACCCAAGCGTATTTGAACTACCTTTTATATACACTTGTTATCATTCGAACCAGTGCAAAAATATTACCATTTTAAAGCATTAACATTGTTTTGGGCCAAACTGTACACTTATCACTCCCAAACCTACCCTCGTTTTTCTGAAGTCTTTGTTTGAAATTTTCTATTTGCAACTGTGTAGGTGACAAGCACTCGCTAAACCATATTCATACCATCAGATCACATGATAATGATAGTCTCCTTTTCTTCCCATCCAGAGTTACGTGATCTGACCGTCGGTCTTTGACACCTGTCCTCCCTGGAGTATTGTCCATCAAGGAGTCTCTGGTCATCAAAATAACAACATGCTGCCAAATCAGAAAGTCTCCACGGGGCGGGAAAAAGCGCCCCCGCTGAAGACTCGGAAGATCCTGGTCTCAGAGTTCGGTGGGCCGCAAACGCTAGATCCTGGCCCAAGGAGTAATACCTGTCTCAGTCTGGGCGATGTGATCTATGAGAATACTAAAGCTGAACAAAGTGCAGAGGAAGAAGCAAAAACACGCGAAACGAGGCCCAAAAACAACACAGGCAAAGAAAGCATCATCAAAACAGGGAGAAAAAATAACACAGACGACGGTGGGAATTCAAAAGAAAAGGACGGCGCAAACGACAACTTGCCCGGGGACATTTTGAACGCTAAAGTAATCAGTAGTAGGGCGCCACTTAAGACATTAGGAAGTGCTAAAAACAATCATGGTACCGAGGGGAGAACTGTTAGTCCTCAGGACTCGGCTAAAGAAAATTCTTTAACTTCTAGTGGGAAGAAGTCAAAGTCAAATAATCACCGAAAAGACAAAAAGGGTGACGATTCATCGAAAAAGACACCAACAAACGAGACAGCTAAAACGTCCCCGAGTTTGCATAAGCACTCCAAGTTTGCAAGTCTTAAAACCCGGAGAGAGAGCGGGGTATTTCTGTTGTCGGACACAGCCTTAACCTACGACAAGATTCCTGGCCTACCGTCCCCCGGAAATTCGATTCCCGGATCTTCTAGCACCTCGACTTCCGGATCAAGCAGAGCCAGTGTTAGGACAAATGGTAGTAAAACTTCCATGTAAGTTCTTTTGTAGTAAAATGTAGTTATAAATGTACTTTTGTCTAATAAATTCCTTATTTACCTAAACGCTATGCTTTTCACAAAAATACTCTCGCCACCCTGTAACTATCCGCCCAACACGCATTGATCCATCCATCCATCCATCTATCCATCCATCCGTCCGTCCATCCATCCATCCATCCATCCATCCATCCATCCATCCATCCATCCATCCATCCATCCATCCATCCATCCATCCATCCATCCATCCATTC